AAAAAAAAAAAAAAAAAAAAAAGGGGGGGAGTGAGAGGCAGAGAGCGGCTCCAACTGTTGAATTTTCGCTGCATCTCCACTTCCCTGCTGGCGGCTGGTGCCATGGATCTGGTTTATCGGGAGTCGGCGTTCCTTTTGCGTGCTGTCTGGCTAAGGCTGGCGACCGTCTGTTTGCGAGGGGCCACCCACCAATGAGGCAGAGAAGAAACTGTGATTTTGCTTTGGCTTTCGCCAGCCTCTCCACCACAGGTTGCAGCATTAACTCTGTACTTTGGGTCCGGACTCAAATAAAGGAGAAAAAGCAGTGCAGGACTGAGACTCGGAACTAGAGCTGTGTGTTGGGAACCTATGTTGTTTTGGGGTGTTTTCTTCTGTTTTTTTCTTTTTTCTTTTAATCTGAAAGAGCTCTGATTATTGCACACATAACACTGAGGAAAGGTGGTTTAAAAACACTCAGCAAAACAGGAGACAGACGCGCCTCTGTGCCAGTTCGTGGATAACAGCCTTGTTTTCCTGATCCTCAGTCTCCCGGAGAAAGAGGTATAGTAAAAGTGTAGCTGGATCCGACACCCCCTCTCTCATTCTTTTTTTTTTTTTCTTTCCCCCCCTTCCCTCCAAAACATACATCTGATTATTATTATTATTATTATTATTTCTGTCTATAGAGTGAGTCAGAGAAGCGTTAGGGAGAAGCTGCAACTAATGTCTGTGAAGGGAGGAACATGAGGAGATAGTGAATGTGATTTGTTCCGCTGGATCTGACTCATCCAGCAGCCTGGAACACCTGCATTTGAGGTCTGCCATTCATTTATTTCTGATTGCTAGAAGAACCTGAAACAAAATTGAGCAGCCTTTCCCCAGTATTTACTGGGAAAGGTAAATCAGACAGAGCGAACGCATCTGGCATTGCCGCTGCTCTCCGCACTATTACTGAGATGCCCAGAGAGACTACAAGAGCCTGACGGGGCTGCAAAAATGCATCACACTCCGCCACGGAGCTGCATAGGTTTAATATAGGTGAATCAGGCGATTAAAAGACCTGCCACTTTATTCACCACCGGGATTGCTTTTCTCTTCTCTCTCCTCCCCTGGATGAAGCGGACTAGGCGGCAGTATCACTGGGAGGAGGTGCTGTATAGGAAGAAAAGAGAGGCACTTGACAGCGCAGCCCTGTGAATACAGCGACTGTTTTCCTTTTAGAGAGAGAGAGAGAGAGAGAGTGTGTGTGTGTGTGTGTGTGTGCGCTTTTCTTTTTTTTCCCTCTCCTCTTTCGTCCTCCCTCCTCCACCCCCCCCCCCGCTTCTTTCCTTTCTCTCGCGCTCTTGTTTAATCTATGCGTCCAGCCATGGGTTGCCTGTTGATTTCCTCTCGACTGGAGAGAAAAGCAAACTGGGATTAAACTGCAGCGAGAAAAGTGCAGCTCCTCAGACACGCATCCGCACACACGCATAGACGCACAGAGAAATGATGTGGTGGCGGCGGCTGTTGGCCTGTCTTAAAGAAACCCGAGCGTGCATCTGATTAGCGCAGCCTGCGATTGCTCTTAAAAGATACGTTTGCTGCTAATGGTGATGATGAGCTGGTGGGTTTCTTGATTTTCACTATTTTTTTTCCCTAGCCTATTAGGCGAGTGGGAGGCTGGTAGTAGAGGGAGAGAAAGGGAACTGTAGATCCGGACACTAGTTTTTTGTGGTTTTGTGTGTGTGTGTGTGGTTTTTTTTTGTTTTTTTTTTTTGTTTGTTTGTTTGTTTTTTTGGTGTGTGTGTGTTTTTTAATTTATTTGTTTTATCCTTTGATCTGCCATTCTCATCCCCTTGCCTTTTGATTCGGGAAAGAAAGAGTGAGGGTGTTGGAAACAGAGGAGGAAATACCGATGGCAGCGAGACGCAGCTCTCCGCCGCAAGCAATGCAAGATTAGATCTCTAAATGCAGCAAAACACTCCCTGAAAGCCAACAGCCCCGCGGTGCAATCAGACATTTCACTGCCTCTCACTGCACACGAAGAGGGCTCCTCCAACAAGCTGAGACTTTTTTTCCCTTCTGTCTCTCTCCCATCCCTCCTCTCCATCAATTGCATCGCAAGTGATGAGTAGCAAATAAGATTTTTCTCCCCCTGCTTACAGACCTGTGGCCACCACCCCCTTTTCCCGTGTATGTATGAATACACGTATTTAAAAAAAAAAAAAAAGAAATCTTTTTTTGATCATTTTTTAGAAACACAACCACCGCCGCTGATTTTTTATTATTATTATTTTTATTATCCTTTGTACATCTGTGAACATTCAAGGATCGGGAACGCTTCGTCTGCCCGGAGGAGAAGATCTTTTGTAAATTTTCTGATTTTTTTGCAATCTTCCCACTGCCGAAGTTGGACTGCCGAAGTAACTGTGAGGGGACCGCAATCACGGCGAGCGCTTCCTGAGACGCTGCCGGAGCTGCTCCCCCCTCCCCCGCCACCCCCCTCCGTCTGCTCCCTCCCTCCCTCTGAGCTACATGGTCCATTTGCTGCCTCTCATCCTGAGTCTCTGCAGATGTTTTAGAGCAACAGGTTCAGGAACTTAAAATATAGGGGTGGGGAGAGAGAAGGAAAAAAAAAAAAAAAAAAAGAAAGAGACGACGGAGGAGGAAGAGCAAACCTAGTGCAGGAGGCAGAGAAGACAGGGACGACCCTGGTCACCACTGCAGCTGCTGCCATTCCCCACCCCTGCTCGGGGATGTACCTTTCCATTTGTTGCTTCTTCCTCTGCTGGGCTCCTGCCCTGACACTGAAGAACCTGAATTACTCAGTGCCGGAGGAGCAGGGAGCAGGCACGGTCATCGGGAACATTGGCCGCGATGCACGGTTGGCAACGGGGGCAGCAGGTGGTGGGCTGCTGCCTGCTGAGCGCAGTAGCCCTGGACGCGGATCCAAGTCCACCTTCCGGGTGCTGGAGAACTCGGCCCCTCACCTCCTAGATGTGGACGGGGAGAGTGGGCTGCTCTACACCAAGCAACGTATTGACCGTGAGGCACTGTGCCGGCGCAGCACCAAGTGCCAACTGTCCCTTGAGGTGTTCGCCAACGATCAGGAGATCTGCATGATCAAGGTGGAGATCCAGGACCTGAACGACAATGCACCAACATTCCCTTCTGACCAGGTGGACATGGACATCTCAGAAAATGCTGCGCCAGGCACCCGCTTCCCACTCACCAGTGCTCACGACCCAGATTCTGGGGACAACGGGCTGCGAACCTACCTTCTAACCCGTGATGACTACGGCCTCTTCTCTCTTGATGTGAAGTCCCGTGGTGATGGCACGAAGTTCCCGGAGCTGGTCATCCAGAAGCCATTAGACCGTGAGGAGCAGAGCCACCACACTCTGGTGCTGACAGCACTGGATGGTGGCGACCCACCACGCTCGGGCACGGTGCAGATCAATGTACGCCTCATTGACTCCAATGACAACAGCCCTGTCTTTGAGGCAGCCTCCTATGTGGTTGAACTGCCAGAGAATGCACCATTAGGGACAGCTGTTATTGACCTCAATGCTACTGATGCTGATGAGGGCACCAATGGTGAAGTGCTCTACTCCTTCAGTGGCTATGCACCTGATCGTGTCCGTGACCTCTTTAGCATCGACCCACAGAGCGGCCTCATCCGTGTCAAGGGCAACCTGGACTATGAGGAGAGTGGTCTCATAGAGATTGATGTCCAGGCTCGAGACCTGGGGCCCAACCCCATCCCTGCTCACTGCAAGGTCACCGTCCGCCTCATTGACCGCAATGACAATGCTCCCACCATTGGCTTTGTCTCCGTTCGCCAGGGAGCACTGAGTGAGGCTGCCCCACCAGGCACTGTCATTGCCCTTGTGCGAGTCACTGACCGTGACTCGGGTAAGAATGGGCAGCTCCAGTGCCGGGTGCTAGGAGGTGGTGGTGGGCCTGGAGCTGTCCCTTTCACACTGGAGGAGAACTATGACAACTTCTACACTGTGGTCACTGACCGGCCCCTGGACCGTGAGGCACAGGATGAGTACAATGTGACCATCGTGGCACGTGACGGGGGGAACCCCCCACTCAACTCCACCAAGTCGTTCTCTGTCCGAATCCTCGATGAGAATGACAACCCACCCCGCTTCAGCAAGAATCTTTATGTATTGCAGGTGCCCGAGAACAATATCCCTGGAGAGTATTTGGGCTCTGTCTTGGCTCAAGACCCTGACCTGGGCCAAAATGGGACAGTCTCTTACTCCATTCTGCCTGGGCACGTGGGTGATGTATCCATCTACACCTATGTCTCCGTCAACCCAACCAATGGTGCTATCTATGCCCTGAGGAGCTTTAACTATGAGCAGACAAAGCACTTTGAGTTTCGCGTGCTGGCCAAGGACTCGGGTTCACCCCATCGTGAGAGCAACGCCACAGTACGTGTCACTGTGCTCGATGTCAATGACAACGCACCCCTCATCGTCCTACCTGCCCTCATCAATGACACCGCTGAGCTGCAGGTGCCACGCAACGCTGGGGTGGGCTATCCTGTGGGCACCGTTCGTGCCCTGGACAGTGACTTTGGGGAGAGTGGGCGCCTTACCTATGAGATTGTGGAAGGCAATGAGGAGCACCTCTTTGAGATGGACCCCACTAGCGGTGAGATACGCACCTTGCACCCCTACTGGGAGGAGCTCAGCCCTGTGGCTGAACTAGTGGTAAAAGTCAGTGACCATGGCAAGCCCAGCCTCTCTGCGGTGGCTAAGCTCATTGTCAGGGCCTTGGCAGGGCCCCTACCCGAGGCTGGCGAGCCACAAGTGAATGGCGAGCAGCATCGGCGACCGCACTGGGACTTGTCGCTGCCCCTGATCGTGACCCTGAGCACTGTCTCCATCATCTTGCTGGCTGCCATGATCACTATTGCTGTGAAGTGCAAGCGAGAGAACAAGGAGATCCGCACCTATAATTGTCGCATTGCCGAGTATAGCCACCCTCAGCTGGGAGGAGGGGGAGGCAGTGGCGGGGGAGGAGGAGGCAGTGGCAGTGGAGGGGGCAAGGGCAAGAAGAAGAAGATCAGCAAGAATGACATTATGCTGGTGCCCAGTGAGGGCGAGGACAGCCGGGGCCCCCTCAATGTCATGAACGTGGTGAGCAGCCCATCCCTGGCCACCTCACCCATGTACTTTGACTACCAGACCCGCCTGCCCCTCAGCTCTCCCAGGTCTGAGGTGATGTACCTGAAGCCCGCCTCCAACAACCTGACTGTACCCCAGGGACATGTGGGCTGCCACACCAGCTTCACAGGGCAAGGGACTAACGCCAGCGAGGCTCCCCCGAGCCGGATGTCCATAATTCAGGTAGGAGACTTTTAGAATTCCCTGGACCTCACTTTAGATGCTGGTTTAACTTTACGTTTTGTCTGCAGTGAAATCTGCTGTAAGACACCACTGAAGGGACCAACCCAAGTCACTAAATAGAGGTGGACTTAATAAAAGTGGAAGCAGATCACATTTGATGTGTCTGGTTCTGCTGTCACACAATTGTTTCTTGTGTGACTCAAAAGTAAGTGCCCAGTGAAACAGATGGAGTTACGGCAGTGTAAATGAGGTGCGTGTGAGGGTGCAGGTAGGCATTTAATACATTTGGGGCACTTTGGGGAAATTTCCTAGAAGATCATCAGATAGAAGTGGATGCTTCTACGGGTTTCACTTGGCTTTGGTTTGGAGGTGGAGATGGAGGAGGGTGTTTCCAGAGCAATCCTATCATCTGTAGTGACAGGACATGAGAGAAACTCTAGCCACTGAGGACATCTATTGCAACAGTGTATTATAGCCCTCCAATCCTGTATGTAAATACGAGATTTCTTTTCAAGATGCATGTTTTTATTTTTTTTAACTTCCTTCTTTAGAATATATATGCATAAATATTTATTTTTGACACAGAACAGTATCATCGGGGCCCCATTGCCTCCTCCTCTCCCCATAAACAACCAAAAATTTTTGTTTAGTCAAGTAGAAAAAAATGTATGTGGTGACTCCCTCCTACCCCTAAATGTCAACAAAGCTCACGTCCTGTCATAAAACAGCAAAACAACTAGTCAGATTTCCAGTAGCCTGAGTCAATATTGATTATTGCTTTATAGTGAAAGACTTACATGCTGTGTCTTCTACCAAAGAAATTACGTTTAGAAATTACAGCTGGGCTGCATTCTGCTGTCAGTTATATCCATACTGTCCTCTACCGACTTTTGTGAATGTGAAAAGTGGCAGAATTTGGACCATTGGATATAGGGTGCTAATCAATTGACTTAATTTCTAGCAGGTATTGCAAACTCAGAAGACATATTCTAGAGCAGTGCACTCACAGAGAGAAGGTGAGGGCAGAATTTGGCTCCAGTTGATTTAATTTAAAATATTGCTTTATGATTAATGCAGCTTAATGTTCAAATATTTCAGGTATGTTCCAAAGTGATTTTTAACGTTTGGATTGAAAGCAGGCTCTGGATAATGACTATTAAATATATTTGAAATGTCATATTTGTTTTGTCCTGTAGTCTCCTAATATGTTGTTCTGAGTCATAGGGGAATGAGCTGAGTGTATCAGAAGTGACACAGACTCACTTTGTATATGCAGCTACTGGGAAAGAAGTTGCGCTTTAGACATCTGATGTACCAAAAGAAAATTCATAGTACCTTTGAGTTATGCTACCCTGCAGTCTCTGATCACCGGATGTTCTAGTTGCCAGCTGCATCTAACATTTTAAACTAAATAGAAGTATCCATCAGTTAAGTAACGAAAATTCCAGTAACTGATAGCCTGTAAATGGAATATTTTTGACAGGAAAAGAAAAAAGAAAAAAAAAAAAAAAAAAAAAAGTAAAGGCTGTTTGTACAAGGTCACTGTGAACTAATCCTCAACCCTCTATTGAGTTGAGTTATGTCACAGAAACAATTTCATTTTATGCCTATCATGAATTTGTGTTGCTGTCAATTAGGTGAGCAGAGCAATACGTAAAATCTGGAATTGATTTTAACAAAAAGTGACACTTCAGGAAAGAGTTTAGTTTAGGGCGCAACCAGAGATAATTTGATTTATAATTCATGCTTTATGAGACAAATAACTTTCAATGACACGTGTTTAAGTAATGTCAACTTTTTTTTTTTACTGTAAAATGGAGTGGTCAGAATGCTAAGAAAAAAAAGAAGGTTTTTTTTGTTTTGTTTTTTTTTGTTTTGTTTTGTTTTGTTTTTTAACCTACTGGCAAGTGTAATAGTTACTAAGAGCCAAATAATTTTACTTTTCTACAACCATGTAATGCCTATATAAAGCAATTAATTCATGTACTGACGTAGTAAAAATTCAATTGTAGTGTAAAATCCCTATGGAAAATATGGTACCTTTTTTAAAGTGTTCAGTGTATAATATCAGTCATGATTTTTTATTTATTTATTTTTCTTCCCAAGGTCTATATAAAGCTAAAAGAGGAATTTCCTCCCTTACAAAGGTGTGTTGTGGTTTCTGTAAGAGTTTTCGATATGGCAACTGTGGGAAATGCTTACCATAACTCCACACAGCACATACAGGCTTATCAAATATTTTACTCTTGCTTTCCCTGAATATCCAACACAGCGTGGGATACCTAGATGGTCCAGCAAGCAGATTAGGAAACATTCATTTTCCCCAGTGAACACCTGTTGAAATGTACTTACTAATGTTATACTTTGTAATTGTATTAACCAAACAAAACCATCATGTGAAACAGAGCAGTTGTTTTCAGTTCAGGAGGGGCACAGACTTAAAGTAGTCAGAGGGGAAAATCCAATCCTGCTTCACTCTAATTTTGTATTACTGAAATACGTTTTGTATTCTCCATCTCTACATCTCTAGAGTAAATTTTATATAAAATTTGAATTCAGTATGTATACACTACTTTCTGTCTGGTCTTCCATTTCTGCATCATATAAAATTCAAACTGCAAGCTCACAGAGAAGCTGTAAAGGATCAGTCCTCTCTGTGGATCTAACGTATCACAGGAAACACAAGAAGAGCAAATTGCACAGTTAGGAATCAAAAGTATAGCCAGTGGATAAAAAAAGATACAGAATCCAAGCAGCTGCTTTATCATCTGCTTTCATTAGTCAATTCAAAACAGCAGTTTTCTTCGTTACTTCAGTAAGAGAAAGCCAAATGGTTGTGTAAGTGTTCCCTAGCGAATATTCACTTGAGTTTTTCCAGGTATATTGCCGAATCGTGGTAATCTCACACTATATTATTTATACAATGCAACTGCTTTCCTTCACTCTCATTTTCTCAGGAAGTGAGAATAGCAAAGTTCTGTAACAGGAATCAGATACTGTAACTTTGTTTATCTATGTATATCTATATGCTTATATGCAGTGCATATACATATGTATATATATAGTAAGTGTTACATTATTGCTTAGACCGATTGAGTCTGTAAGTATTTAAAATCAAGTAATTTATTTATCTGAAAGATCCAAGTTTTCTCACTCCCGATAAGAGTACTTTTTTTTTTTTTCTCCTTTTCAGTAGGGGCTGTTAACATCAATAGGCTTTGTGATTTCTAATGAAATTATGCTACAAACAGCACAATTTGTATCTTTGTATACCTGTGGGATAAACTGTTCCTTAGTGGCTATGGGTTTCAGACTCACCCCAGAGGACTAGAAGCAAAATACTGCTGCATATATATTACAGAGTAGTGTAATCTTCCCTCTCTTTGAGTGACTCCTGTTATTCACTAGTCACAAGGTCTAACAACTTGTGTCTTTTTTCACTGCTTTGTAGCATTTAGCTACTTGTAATGATTGTGTGTGGTTTTATGTGAGTCAGAGAAGTCATTTGTTACTATAATAATTAAATAATTTAAACATGCACACTTATAGGTAAGTGTAAAATTTTGGATAAATAGACAAGGATGCTGAATACCTCTAGCATTTATTGGCTTATAAGAGAATTGCAACTGCCTACGGTTTCTGAAAATAGACCATTTGTGATTTGACATGCACGTGAGGTTGATATGTATAAAGAACAGCATTAATAATGCACCGTGCAGTTAGAACAACTACACATTATCACGTTCTGTTGTTTTTTACTTCAGCAATCACATTCTAAACATATTTTAGAAACACTGCTTTCAAAGAGTAACTCAGTGAAAAACATTCAAATGCAGACAAGAGCTGTACAATTCTCCCTATCACATTAAATATTCCACTCAGTCTTTCAATCACTTGGAGTCCAAACTATTCATTTTTACTGGGGAAAAATGGGGAAGACTGGAGAAAATTGAGTGTCTACAATGGCTGACAGGCAGTATCAATTCAGTTGAGATCTTAAAGTCTACTGGGCAAATTCTCTTCATCTCATTTTGGTGAGTACATCAAGTTCATGTACTCTCCTGTCGAAGAGAAACAGTATTTTGCTTTATTTTGAAGAAGATATATTAAATATGTATATATAAAGCACACACATATATATAGGTGTGTGAAAAATGTATAAACATACACGTGTATGTTCATGTCTCTCATAACAAAAGGTTATATGATGACCAGTTTGTGTTAGTTAAGGGGGAGCCTTTCCCTGTATGAACAAGTGACAGTCTCTTTTCCTGCAGGATTTCAGCGTATAAGAATGAATGGATACAGGGGAACAAATAGGTTCCTTAAATATATAAGTTCTGGAAAAAGATTTCTCAAAGTGACATGACAGTAGTGCAGAAAACTATCTACTGCAAAGACTAGAGATTTTTACTATTCTTGTGGTGCAACTTGGAAAGATTTGGATATATGTGAGGAATGAGACAGGAGTTAATAAAGGAAGTAGTGTCCACAGGTTTTGATATACAACTCAGAGAAAAAAGAATGGCAGTTCTGCAAGAAGCTCTCAAGCTGGGAACCACTTTAGTTGCTATGCCAGGCAGTCCTGTAGCATTTTAAGATAAAGTACAGATCATTCTTAATACTTTAGGCACCCGATGTTTACGATGTGTCAACAGATTACTGTTAACTCCCAGTGCAGCTTCATTGCCAGGTGCCTAGTAGTACCTAAGAAGATGCAATCTTCAGGGGAAATAAAAACATGAGCTACATTGGTACTGCTCTCTCTTTAGATATTATATCATTTCATGCTTTACTTCGAGAAACTTCAGCTCAGAAATGTCAGGATTGCAAAAAAGAAGCATGCAACTTTCCTTACAGAAGTTGCATCGTTCTCAGTGTTTTAAAATTCCTGTCTAAAATCCGAGGTAGTAAGTTTGATTTCTGTATCTACTCTGCAAATGTTATTCTCTCTCACTACAGCTAGTAGAAATTAATATTTTACACTAAGAGGATGCAGG